GCCAGCCTCCTACTCTTACTTTCTTTCTGTCTGTCTCTCTGGCAAGTGCATGTGCCCTATAGCAAAAATCTCTGTTAAAAAAAAAAAAAGCTAGCTTCAAAAAATTAAATAAATGATGTATGACAATGCTTGAAGTCATAATCAGAGAACCCAGTTTGTTTATTTTAGAATTATTTATTATTTATTTATTTATTTATTTATTTTATTTTGACCAGAGAGAGACCGAGAGAGAAAGGAAAAGTGAGAAGGCAAGCCGCCAGGTCCAGGACTCAAACTGCTCTCAGCCATTGTGGGAGTCCAATACCTTAGCCACCATTCCACCTGCTGGCCCCAAGAGCCCAGTTTTAATTCACTTCTAGCACTTCCAAGCTTGGTGACTTTGCTAAGCTCTTTGAGGCTCAGTTTCTTCTGAAATGGGAGTAATGATGATGCCTGCCATTCCTACCTCCAGGGTTGTCCTAAGGACCAAATGAAGTAATGCTGTATGATAAAGTATGTGGAAAAATGTAAAGCACTCTACAAGAAAGTTCTGTACATCTCTTCATTGTGGATAAATATTTCCTAAGGAACTATTTTATGTTCCCCACTTTGTGAGGACCTAACTCGAACATAGTTTCAGCATTTCACATAGACCAGCGTGTTCAGATAAATATGACTGTAAATGCTTGCAGCACAGGATGCATGCGCACATATTTGTGTGTATATATAGCCACATGTCAAGTGACTGAGAGATTAACTGGTTGAGTTGACATCAGGAAAGCCTGCCTAGAGAAACAGGAAGGATGGCAGACTGATAACGGTACGGTTGGGTTATTGCATGACAACCCTTTGTCTCAATAAACATTTAGATTCTGATCCTCAGTGGGTGGCTGTACCAGCCTTGCTCATTGCCTTGAATACAAGTATAGTTTGCTGAAATTATAATTACCAGAGAAGAAAGGAAGAAAAGGGGAATTTATTGAATTTTTGTTGTTTGCCAGACACTGAGCTAGAAATCTTATATTACCTTATTTAATTCTCACAACAACCTCAAACTAAAACAGTTATAATAATGAGTAACAACTTAATGAGCACTCACTATGTGCCAGGCTCTGGGCCAAGTGCTTCAAATGTATTAGGTCATTTAATCCTCACAGTAACCTTATCAACTATGAATTCTTCTATTTACGGATTAGGGAACTGAGGCTCAAAGAGGTTTTGTAACATGCTGATGGGCACATAGCTAGTGAGTGGTGGGGCCTGATTCTTACCACATCTCTGGGTATGTCTGACTCTAAGACCCAAGGTCATCACAGTTTCATGCTGTTTTAGCTTCCAAGCTCAGACATTTCATATATAGTTGGTTGCAGAACATTCTAGAGTAAGGTCATGTTGAGTATTACAGAGAGATAATATCCTACACCAAATCATTCAGTTCTTGGCATGTTTTGGAGATAAGGGACCTTTTTTTTTATCCCTGGGGATACAGAATGAGCCAACTCTTTAGTAGTACTTATTATGATCCAAGCTCTTTAAGTTCTTTTTTTTTTTTTTT